CCACCACTGTGCGTTTTACTGGAAGTTTTCTTTTGTGCAATTTGTGGAAGTAACCGGCGTTTTTCAATCGATAAAACTTAGAGACCTTCAAGAAAAGAGCTTACTCTTTTATAAAAGACAGGCAACGCACCTGCCATTCTCCTGGTGTTGCAGTTGTTCATGGGCGGCGTTAGTCACCTACAATTATGTGAGTCGCATGCTCGTTTTCCCCCTCTTCTATAAAAAAATGATAAAATTGATTAGTGCTAAAATAATTATTTTAATTTGTTTCTTTTAGTAAAGTGTATAAACTAAGTCGGTTTTAAATTTTAAGCTTTATTTTTTTTTTAAACTTATAAAGGATGCTTATTTTTCAACAAGAAGTTTTAACAAAAGTGACTGCTATGTCCTTAAGATTTAATATAGAAAAATATCATTATGACGGCTCTTGTTTTAACTTGATATGAGCTTAAAACCCATGCAACCTGCCTACAAACGGTTCGGCATACTTTAAAACTGAAATATTTCACTATTTAGGGATGACTGCCTCGTTTGTCTAGTGTGAATGCGTGTAATCATATGGTTGCGGGTTTAAATCCCCGGTCGGGATAAAATCAGTCATTGGGTTAGTATGCGATATTATATCCGCGTGCCTCGAAAAGCACTTACAATCCTGTGCCGGATCTCTCTGGTGTCATATCGATATGCCGTCCTATAGGGTACTATGAAAGTGAAGGAACAGATATTATCATTATTATCATCAAATGACATTTTAGCAAAATAATCTAATCGTGTATTGCAAACACTGCTGGGGTACACTACAGCGAGTTACACTAAAGGTTACAAGCTCTATTTTATCTTAAATCCTCAGGGGTAACAATGCATTTATTCCTGTTTTTGTTTAAAGTTGATTTGTACTCGTAATGTTTATTGCCTGGAGAAGCCAATAACCATTAATTAAACTGTTAGCTGTATGTCACTCTAATATCACTTAATACTATAAAGCCGCTTCCTCACAATGGCCAATATATAACGTGCAATAATATTACGAGTAGCAATATATTGGTCCAGCAATTTATGACCACTTCATACGTTGGAAGGTCGTTCAGTTTTGCCACTAAAGGCCAATGTTCTAATATTTGTGAATCTCTTTTACAGATATAATGCACTATTCATCCATTTTTTTATAAGATCCACTGTTGAACATAGAACAAAGCCTCTCTCATAAATTGGCCCATAAAACCCTCCGTATTGCAAATGCTGCCACGAGTGGTGGGCGAGTTGGCCACCACAGTTCTTTCATAATTTTGGACTTTTATCAGGAAGATGCTGCTGCCCATCATCTGTTTCAGATTCCTTCTGTCGTCTCTTACGATAACCACAAGGCGATATGAGGTAGTGGTTATTTTGACAAACACCATACGGTTGCAGATATAATAAGTAGAGCTAATTTTTTCCATTACTTGTAGATATAGCTGTCGTCATTCATTTTCAGAAGTAATAGGTATAAAGCACTCGCGTGCGCACTAAACAAATGAATTAAAACCAAGAGATTATCGTTTTAAACTAAAAGCGCAGCCAGCGTGTGGACGCGATGTTCATCATGTAACCAGTGCCTTTTAATCTGTATTAAAATAGCTTTAAGGTTTTTTAACCCTGATCTCGTGCATCAGCATGAGCTGATTCTACAACACCTACTGTTATTATTGTGAACAGGATTCTTAACATAATTTCCGTGTCCACCATACGGCAATTATGTTGTTAGAGAATCCGTCACCTCACTTCGCTGACTCCGTGGCGCAGTAGTTTAGCATTGAGTTCCGACGCTTAAGGTCGTGGTTACAAATCCCGCACGGAACAAGTATTTGTATGGCCTACAAGTAATTTTTCCGTGTCTCAATGTTTCACCTTATGCAATTAATGCATGTAAAATGGCTCTACAATAAGTGTAGATTTCAAAAATAAAAATTTTGTCCCATAGATGTCGTAAGAGGGTACTATAATATAGCAAAACGCTCAGCCATTACATTACCTAGTCTAGAAATGTTATAATAGGGTAACAAACGAGCTGTGTGCTTATTTCTAACCTAACCTTCGTTTCTAACCAAAGACATCTGCATATGTCTTCGATTAAGAATCATAATACAAATGCATTATCACCTCTGAAGAATAAGATCAAATGCCTTGTTTCCAATAAAAAGTGTCTCCGGCTTTCAATAATCACCATTCTAAACACAATAGCATTAAGTTACTATTTTACGATGGTATTGTGTAAGAGCGTGGTCTTTACCAGGTTGAGTCAACCTATTTTTTTTATTACAGCCATAATATAGCTGCAGCGTGACTCTACCATGGACATCAAAGTTATTATAATATATAATTCCGCTGACAATAATCTATTCATTTCCGCCCTTCTCGGCAGTGCTACGTCAAAGACGAGAAGCAGAAGTGTGGTAGTTTAATTCTTCAAAAAAATTTGATAAAACTTTATTGGAAACTACAGGCTGATTTCCCTTATGAGCCGCATCTACGGGCTGTTTGCAACGAATCGTCTCACACGCAGATTGGACGATTTCCAGCCTTCCGGACAAGCCGGTTTCCGAAAAGTGTTTCGCACTATAGATCACATACACATTAGCAAATTATGCAGAATACTGAAGAGTATAATCTGCCGTTATGTTTAGCGTATGTAGATTAATATAAGGAATTTCACGACTCAGTCGAAATTTGGAAGGTTCTAGCATCTCTTCAATGGTGCCAAGTTAAGTCGATATATCGAGGTGCTGAAGTGCTTGTACCGCCATGGTGTCTATCCGAGTGCGGAACTAGAGCACGAAACCTATCCAACTGCAGTGAGGTCTAAGAGAGAGTGAACGCAAAATTTTTCACGACTGCATCGAAGGACATTTTCAAGCTACTGAACTTAAAAGGATACAGTATTAACTTCACTGGGTAATTCATCTCTTGCCTTTGATTTGCCGACGATAAGGTCTTTATTGCAGAATTCTTGCAGGCCCTTAGACGAAGTAGTATTTTCCAACAGGTATGTCTAAAACTGAACTTGGACAAGACAAAAATCATGTCTAAATTTCTTGCTGCCCTACCCTACACTACGTTCGACAACATTCGCCGGATGGTTACAACATAAGAAAATCCCGTGAGTATTGGATTCAGAAAGATTCCTTATAGATGACTCATTTGGCATTCAATAAATAACGGCTAAACGGAATACCTTTTTCTGTTTTATTTTCTTATTACCGTACATGAGATTACAATATTAAATAAATAATTTAATATGGTAAAGCCTCCCCGATAAGACGAGAAGATTTTACTGTATCTATTTTACGAATTTCCATAATGAGAAACCCTACGGCTACCGCAAATTTGCCCTCTTAAATATGAATGAAACGAATTACTCGCGAATTTTCATTAAATATCGTACCTACTTAAAATAAAACTGAATACAGTTTATTTAAAATAATTATTTTTATTTATAATTTTGTCGTTCGTTAAACGTTACCAACCGGTACTTTATTTGCATTAAGCTGGTAACCAACATTACCAAAAAAAGGTTTTTTTTTATTTTATTTAGAGAACCACAAACAAGTTTACAATATATCTTATGCTAAAGCTTATGTTTTATTACAATTTCTTACTTATTTACCCAACGACGATGGTCACACATAGAGTATAAAAATAAGATAATTATGTAAGGGACCTTTTGTAAAAGAAAAGTACCTTAATTTCTAAAATATTATTTTAACATATTAGAGGTTAGAGTTTAGAGTTTTGTATGTTACGGCCTGGTCACGGGGATCGGCGGCGCAAACGGCGAAGTGACAGGCAGGGCGATAATTTGGGGGCGCGATTTGAGGGCCACGGGAAGTCACGTTTGCCGCCGCGACCAGATAGGTTGAGAGTGAAATGTCTTTATCAAAGTTATTCGATATTGATTAGAAAGTAATTGTTTTTTGACTCAAGAAATAATATTTGGAAGAGATTGCAGAGTACATGATTTGAATAGGAATTGGGTTATAGATGGAGAATTCCACAACAAATAGAAGCATCTAGAAAAAAAATTCGAGTAAATACCAAAATGAGTGTCGAAACCTGCGATTATATTGTAAATATTCAACCAGAATTGGAGATAAAAGTCAACGCGGAAAGAATTTTAAGTTGTTTTTGTCGGCCCGGCATTTTTCGCGGCGAAAACAACTAAAATATTTTGCTCCCTTTATACTATTCGCCGGTTTTCGCCGCGTCTGCCGCTCGACTCCGTGGCTTGCACCATACTGATTCATACATTTGTTTCAGCCGCCTGCCGCGCCGCCAGTCGCCCGCGCTATTCGCCCGGTAAATTTCGCCGTTCGCGTCGCCACTCGACGCTACGCGTGGCTTGATCCATATTCCATACATTTCTATACATTTGTTTTACGCCCGAACTTAATAACGTATCTCTGTTTTAAGATTTAAGACAATCCGAGATCCCATACAAAGATCGATCAAAATCCACATCCCAATAACATAACTTAACAAGCCCAATCTTTTTTTGCAGCGATCGCAGTCGATCCAAACAGATGTTTGGATCGATCCGTTTCCTCTCGACTCTTTCGTTTTATGCATAGCGACTATTGCTTCATTCAAATAGTTGTATTAATATAATAACATAAAATGTAATTTTAAATTTATTACTATTGACTCTAATTAGAAGTTAATATGTAATATGTAAGTTAATATGTATGTAATAACTCCCTTTTCTCCCTAAAACTATAAAATGATTATATATTTATTTAAATCAATGTAACTATAGTTAGAAAACAATCACGTAACGGAACTCCGCCAGTCAGTAGCGGCCGCAGCGTCATCGCTCATCGCGTCGGTCAAAAATATTATCAAGTTACACTGCTTCGGTTCGATCTATTGTATTCGTAATTCTTGTATATGTTATAAACCTTTTTTCGAATTAAACTAAACTTTGGAACAGAAATATTTACAGGAAATACTTTGTGAATAACAAAATAATGGAGACACAAATAGTAAGTTATATTGTAATACATTAGATATTGTATCATTTGATGCTTGGTGACAATACGTAACTTTTCCAGCCCGTACAACAACATATATCGCTTTTTATTTTAGATAAAGAGCAAGCCACTTTCTAAAGATGAAAACAAAGCTTTACTCGAACTCATTGAAATGAGCAAAATTATAATGTCTAAAGCCACAAACGCCAGCAGCAATAAAATGAAAGACAAGGAGTGGGTACGAATAGCCGAGCAGTTTAATGCTACGGCAGCAAATTGTCGTCGGACACCACTACAGCTTCGGCTGAAGTGGGAGAATTTAAAGAAGAATGCACGTAAACGTTGCAACAAAATAAGAATGAACACCATAAAAGTGAGTTTCATTGTTTATTTACTTTAATCTAAGTATAAATAAGTGATTATCAATTTTATTTACATTCTTTATTAATTTCATCTTTTTGATTTGCAGACTGGCGGTGGTGTTGGTGAGTATATACCCCCAGACGAAATCCTGGATCGTGTTACCAGTTTATTGGAGAATACAGCCAGTGGATTAGTTGTTCCTTATGGGGGAGATAAGGAACCTGACCACTTTGTAGTGATTTGTGATGGTGGTGGTATTTTGCCAAATGGTGATGATGTAGAAGAATTAGGTGGTGATGTTAGGGTCAATCAAGAAATCCTAGAGTTTCAGGACACACCAGTACCAGATCCGCAAATGGAAACGGTTGTGATCCCTACTTCTCCACATTAAGCAATGGGTCAGGTTAACACCTGTGCTGTTGCTGAACAAATTAAAGATTCGAATTCACCACGGATAGTAACATTCAAAGTTCCTAAAACAGGTAATGGTTATTTTGATGTTGATAGAATTTTAATTTATAAGATAACAATTTCACATGGTGTGCCGTTCACTGAGGTGGTGGTATGGTGACTAACTTGTAGTCCGCTTTAGTTTAAAAGCAGTGTAAATTGAGGTAAAATAGTAATATGCCAAAGATATACTCCTTTTTTATTAAAAAAGGCTATAACTTGTAATTTAATAAATTAAATTAATTTGTATTTTACAGGTAAAAGGAAATTGCAGAGTGATGGGTCCAAATCTGCTAGAGACCGTGCCATTGCAGAATATTATACATTTAAAAAACTGTGCCTAGAGTCAAAATTAGATAATATAAAATTAGAAAATAAAAAACTTAAATTAGAAAATGAAAAACTTTTATTGGAAATAGAAAATTTTACGAAATAGTTATTTGTGTAACAGTATGTAAGTGTAAAAAATAATTATGTATTTTGATATATAAAAGACAGTCATATGTCTGTAAGTAGTTAATAAATTCAAGCCTTGTATATGTATTCATGATTTGTAATATTATTAGTTATATAGTTTGTACTTGAAAATCTTTTAAACTAATAAAATATGTATGTAATAAATGTATTAAAGGTAGATTAATGCCTTAGTAATATAGTAATTAAAGAATAAAATCATTTGTATTGAATATTTGTTTTATTTTTACAATTAAATTCACAAAATGTAAAGAAAAGTAACAATTGTGATTTCTGAGTTCTTCGCCTGCTAAATAGCCTATAATATATAAACATTATTATTAGCAACTTGTGTTTAAATTGAACAAAAATTTAAAAAGGGTAAGTATTTTTACTTACTTGGAGACTATTATGTGGATGATATGTGGTATAAAAGGAGGAAAAGGTAGTTACAAATTAAATTATTTTTTATAAATGTCTAAGTATTATAGTATTTTAATAGAGAAAAATAATTTTTGTTGATTTTTTAAATTTATACAATTAAATTTACAAACTTTAATAAAAAATGAACAACTGATTCTACATTCAAATTTTAACCTTTAACATCAGTGCAAGCCTGCATCACATCACATTACAATTTGAATACTTACATATTATTTGCACCCACATCTCAAAACAGTTAATAAAAAATAGTTGCTTTATGCAGTTGGTAAGGAGACCGATGAGCTACATCGTTCATAAACTTTAAACTTGAATTTTTCTTTAAATACAATACATTTAAAGAAAAGTACCACTTGTGATTTCTGATTTATTAGTTAGTCGCCAGCACACAGTTACATGAAGACTATTATAAAACATAGAAGGTAGTTATAATTATTTGACTTCTGGTTTGTAGAAATATCATTAACAACTCCATTATGAGGCATTGTACTATTGTCGATAGATGGTAGTTCTACTTCAGAGGGGATTCCTGTGAGATTGTGATTTCTGCAAATATTATGTAGGACTGTAGTTGCTATTATTACTGCCTGCATATTTGGTATTGACAAACGTAGTGTAAACCTACGTTTCCATATTCCAAATGCTCTGTAATACAAACAATTTGTTTATTGAACACCAGTATTCCCATAACACATTTTATCTAATAATACTGTTAATTTAACATACCGTTCAATGGTATTTTTAGTTTTAATGTATTCTTCATTGTACCTACAGTGGTGGTCATATAATTAAGAACGCTGTTATAAGGGGAAGATTTTTCAAACTAAAACACAAAACTAATTGCATGCAATTTTTTTTTTATTTCTATCGGTATCTTTAAACGTTTCCATAATACCACTGTATTTATTGATATACATGATTATCTAAAAATAAATAGACAAATTTTTTATACTACTTCTAAACATAGTGTTTCTATTTACTGGCTGGTCACGTAATTAAGAACGCTAAATAATTTATACCTTTATTCAAATTGAAATAGAGAACACTCAGTTGATTTGTTACCGTTTGTATAATTTTGGCGCCATTTAGTGCTGTTAAAAATTGAAAGTGATTGCTTCTTAGGAAAAAACAATGGGAAAAAATAAAAGTTGTGTTAAATCTACAAGGGAAGTAATAATAAAACTTCGCCGGAAGAATTAGTCTTATAAAAAGATAGCCGACCACCTGCAATGTTCAAAAACGATGGTTTTCCATGCTGTAAAGCATTTTGCTACGTATCAAACTACTTCGAATGTTCCACGTGTACCTAAACAGAGAAAAACAACTCCTCGAGATGACCGAAACATCGTTCGTATGGCAAAATAAAATCCTTTTTAAGGGTCCAATGAGCTGAGAAAAGAATATTTTGGTGAAAACAACCCTTCAGCAATCTCAGCACGCACTATTCGAAGACGTTTGGTAGAAGAAAAATTGCACGGTAGGATAGAAAGACACTATGATAGCACTACAAGGGTGTGGGAGACAGTAAGGATAGCCCCTGGGACGTTTTTTTAAAAAGCAAAGCGAGAGAGGGGTCCCGGTTGCGTTACGAACAAAGATATTGGAACTCCTTATACATCCTCTTGGTGACCACCGTGGCAATTTAGCCGGTAGGATTCCGGCTTAACCTTTTTGTTGCCCCCATAGCCTAGGGTATCCATGAGGATTTTCCAACGATTAAAAAAGTAACAAACAAAATAAAAAAAGCTAATATTTCAGGCTAGTATCTTGTGCGAACGTGGACGTTTCATGATCAATCAAACATGTGCGTGCTGCGGTCATTATTCACTGCAACGTGGCTCCACCTAGACCTGTGCGATGAATCAGACAATAACAAAAATGCTTTGGGTATTGAACCCAGTGAACAAAATTCAGTCATTGTTAACAGCACGTGATTAATCAGCGAAAATAATCACTGTAATAAACTCGCAAGTCCTAACTAAGAATCTCAAGTGAAGCTTCATTGGTCTTTAAGTGTTCTCTGACTAAACATTCAAGCTTGTCGCATAAGCGTTGAATACGTCGAATTATTTTTTTATATATAAAATTATATTTATTAACGGATTTACAGCATAAATAATCATAAGTGGTTACTGCAAACCAAGAACACCAACCTCAAGTAAAATAATAAAGCAGGCTTCAAATGCGTTGTCATCTCTGAGGACTTAGGATACAATGCTCACAACCTGTTATTAGATAAGTCTTTAATTTATTGGTCTTTTTATCTTTATATATTGGATAATAATATAGAATATAAGTAATCACTTTATATTAGGGTCTGTGATAAATATCTCAGACTTTAGTTTTATACATATTTTACGAAATTCAAATATCATTATCATCATTTCAGCCCTTCACAAGTCCACTGATGAACCTAGGCCTTCCCCATTGAACGTCACAAACCACGGTCCTGAGCCACCTGCATCTATCGACTTCCTGCATGTCTTACCTTGACCTAATGGCGGGACGCCCTACATTTCACCTGCTGGTACGAGGTTGCCACTCGAGAACATTTTCCCCATCGGTTATCGGTTCTTCGAGCTATATGAATGGCCCATTGCCACTTCAGCTTACTAATCCTAAAAGCGACAGTAGCCTAATGGCAGGGCGCGGACCGCGAACTCAAAAAGGTCGTGGATTCGAATCCGCCATTCGACTACTGGCGTGAACCTCTAGTAACACAAGCAATGCATGCTGGCATGATGCAGAATGCAAGTTTTATAATGCCTCAAAGTATATAATCCACTGCAGTAAACAAACCCAGAAAAATGTATGATATTGTCCAGGATATATGCTAGTTAGATAGTGTATTGAAAACATGATACCACCACTAATTTAATACGACAGAAAAAAATCACAAACGGTATGACCTCCAAAATTTCTTTTAACGAGTAAAAACCATACTAGTATACATGCAATCATTCTGATTTTTTGTCAGATTTTTATACATTCGAAATATTAACGTAATAGTGTTTTAATTTTTTTAGTCCAACTAATAGTTTTTTTTTAAACCGCATCTTCTTATTTCTGAAATAATACGTACGGATGTTTGCGTAAACGCCTGTGCAGTCACTGCCGGCCGAGGCCTAGTGCTGTAGATACGTGTCGCTCTTTTTGCCGCAATATTTACGTTAAGATTTTTTAAGGACGCGTTTACAAAATTGATATAGGTATAGAATCGAACTATTACACGTACACAAGTGTACGCACTGTTGGCTTTCGGAATCGTAGTCAAATAAAATTATTTTGATAATTTGAAAGATCGAATTTGTTTTTGATTTCTTATACCTCATAAATATAGTTAGATACATAGAGTAATTAGATTTAGATACGAAATACGAATACCTACTCTAGAGACTGCTTGGCACTGGGAGCTCTCTACTGGCAGTGAGATGTTAGCTGTGGACTTTTAGGCTGGTTTTGTCAGTTATAATAAGACCTTACCTCCGGACTTGATGGGGTGACCAGTGGGTGAACTTCAGTAACTAATACTGGAACACCTGGACTAGTAGAACTAAGTGTGCCGAGTTTGGGCTCGTTTTGTTAGGTATGATGAGTCTTTACTTGCGGACTTGACGGAGTGACCTGCAGGTACACTTTAATAATCGCTATTGGAACTGGTCGCCTAGTACTACTAGGTGTGCCAAGTTTGGACTCGTTTTGTTAGGTATGATGAGTTCTTACCTCCGGACTTGACGGAGCGACTTGAAGGAGTACTTTAATAATCTCTATTGGAACTGGTCGCCTAGTACTACTAGGTGTGCCAAGTTTGGGATCGTTTTGTTAGGTAATATGAGGTCTTACCTCCGGACTTGACGGAGTGGCCTGAATGTGTACTTTGGTAATCGCTGTTGGAACTGGTCCCCGAGTACTACCAGGTGTGCCGAGTTTGGGCCCGTTTTGTTAGGTATGATAAGTCCTTACCTCCGATATTGACGGAGTGACCTGAAGGTGTACTTTTGTTGTCGCTATTGGAACTGGTCGCCGAGTACTACTAGGTGTGCCGAG